TCCTTCCTTCCTTCCTTCCTTCCTTCCTTCCTTCCTTCCTTCCTTCCTCTCCCCCCCCCTTTTTACTTTACAATGTTGATGCAGAGGTCAGTATTTTCTCAGCATGAAAATATGTATGCAAAGCTCTGTTGAAAAGCAAATTAAACCAGATTGATCCATAGTCACAATTGCAGACAGAATAACAAATCATCTGGCTGTCTGCTCCCTCCTTTGATATTTCCTTTTGAATTTATATATGCTAGTTTTCCTTAAATCTTCATTCAGCTGAAGATTTTTCTGGCCTAAGCTGTCTTACATCTATAGGCTTTGCTGTTTTATACTCACATAAAAAAGTGTGTAGGGTTTTGCCTTCCGGATGTTTGTGGTGATATCTGTTAAGATATCTAAATGTATATCTTCTTTCTGCCATGTGTTCAGAATGTTTGTAGATTTTTTTAAAGATTCCATAGAATGTCCAATATATTCATATATAGAATAGAGGTGAATATAGTGTGAAGTCCAGAATATTCTGTACTTTTGTGATTTGATCTTAAAGATCAAATAAAGAATCATGGCATAGTTTGAGCTAGGTTCGATCAAACAAATAAAAATATTTATGATATTTATATTGCAAATTAGCCAATTCTTAGGCGAAAAATCGATCTGCTTTTGTTTAAACCCCTTATGTTGCTCACCAAAATTAAAACAGAAAATAATGGGATCATAACTGCATAGGAATGTTTTTATATATACCATAGTTTTTTTAAAAAAGTGATTATTACAATCACATACCAATTACACTTTTTAAAATAGTGAGTCTGGATCTCTGAAAGTGACTTGTAGAACCAAACAAATGTAAGCATAGTTAAATCAAGCCAGTTTTAACTCGGTTGTTAACATTATTAAGATAAGAGTATCAATAAATGGTTTCTAAATGTTTTAAATTATAAATACGATGTTTTGATATTACCTTAGAACAATACAAAGGCAGGTTTTTAAAAAAAGAAATCTGTTTCTATCAGATTATGCACATTTAAACAATAAGTGGCTCAGGCAAAATAAGTCATTTTAATGTCATCTGTGATAGATTTTCTTTGACAGCTACTGTAAATTACAATTACACTCCTTCTCCCTTGAAAGTAAGCATTGCAATAAATTATCTTTTATTTCAATCCATCATGACTGCCTTTCAGAAATGGAACACCTCAAATAAAAGTTCAGCAGCAATGTAAGAAAAATATAGTAATTTGTGTTAGTTTGAAACCAAAAATGTACCTTTCTTTACAAAGAAAGTCCACAATTGTGGGTTTTCAAAAATATTGTTAATTATACTTCATCATTCATTGTCATTAGAGGGAATCCCTGAAATTGTATATTCCATTAGTCTAGGGCTGTTACAGAAGGAAAATACCTTAAACTCTTCCCAACAGTAAAATGCAGACAATTGGGTAAGCCAGTACAATACCACTGACCAAATTAACCTAACCTAACCTTTTAAAATGTTTAAATGTCTTTAAAAATTGGATTACATCTGCATTGCCACTTGTGCGGTTGAGTTACAGAGCTAAACCAAGGCAGCTACTGAGAATATTTGGTGCTGGGCCTTTTCAAATGCTAAGGTCTAGGTCTTCATGTATTGATCTTCTACTCATACAGTGAGGTCTTCCTGTCCTCCCCTTCTCCCTCTCTGGGTGTTCCCACAACCCTCCGAGGGATCATTTGAGGCTGCATGGGCAACTTCTGTTCCTGATGCCACTAGTAGAAATTGACATTTGATTCCATCATAAAGATGATTAATCATGGCTTGATCTCCCTCCACTCTCCTGGAATGGCCTTCATTTTTTTCCTTTTGATATTAAATCACTTAAAAGGATTGTGTTGTTTTGAATTTGGTAGTTATCTTCTTTAGATTTTTTTTCTCCCAAAGTATTTTGCTGTTCCTTAAAAAAAAAAAAAGCAAATCTGTTGTTCCTCAGAGAAATACATACAAAATATAAAGAAAAGAAATTGTAAACTTCATCTTTCAGACCAGAATGTGGATCAAAAAGGGAGTTTGGCTCCATCCATGGGAAATAGATGTCTATGTATAGAAATACTACTTCAGGTTATATTTGTATGGGTAAATCGAGGCTGCTTTTCCTTGCACCATAGTAACCTAACTATAATTTAGAATCAGTTTGCACATTTGCTTTTGTGGGAAGAGGATGTGGTTCACATGGGAAACCCTGAGCAGCATTAAATAGTCTGATATTTGAATTGGGGATTCATTGATGTAGTCAGTTTCATGAACATAATTACATTTTTCCGATACATTGCAATCACATAAGCTACAGGGACCTCAAAAACTCAAGCACTGTTAACGTGAGCTATTTTTCATTAAAAATATACCCATTTATTTACTTTTATTAAAAATATTTGTAGACCGTCCATTACCCAGGGGATCTTGTGACAGGTTGAAATTTGGCATGTGACAGAAAATGTACTATTTAAGCTAGAACAAAGATTGCAAGATAATTGTACTGCAGATTTGCAATTCCAGTGTGTTTTCAT